TCAGCAGCATCCATCCATGGGGCTCTTCTGGTCCTCTGCCAGGCCCTCCTGCCCTTCAGAGCCTCCTGGGCTCTCCTTTCCTCTGGTAACTTGGACTTTCCTTCTTGGCTCCTGAAGTCTCTGTAGAGAACTTAGCAGTTATGACTGACCAAGTACTAGCAACTTCTTCCTCTGCTCTTGTCCTTTCTTTATTTCCCACTTTTTTGTTTTCAGTCTCAAGCCTGTTTCTTCCCCTTCATGCCTGAACTTCAGGCCCACTTAGTTCATGAAAAACAACACCTGAAACACTGCTGTTTTTGCTCAGAACCACAGCTGACTTTTCTGCCAGTTGGTTTCCACTCTGCTATCATCAAATATTTGCTGGACAATTTTCTGTCTAATTAAGTTTCTCCTCTTTCTCCCAGGCAACCCACAACTTAGTTTGAATCTGACTGCCCTGGTGGCTGGCAGGACAAGCTTTGTGGGCAACATTTTTCAGGCAGTAACAAGGCTAAGACTTTGTAAAAGGCCACAGGTGTGTGTACAACAGAAAGTGAACCAGAATCTCAGTGGAGGCGATGTATAGTTTTTCTTAGAATTTAGCTGCGTATCTCTTACTCTAGAACTTCTTGAACTCTTTTTCAAAAGTGGAACTGAGATGATATTTCACTAAAATGAGATAATAGTGGTCTAGTTTACAGGGTAAAGGACAGATAATGGGAAGACTTCCATTTTTATTTGCTTTGCAAAATTTTCCAGACTTTTAAGATATTTCACATAAATTTACAAATACAAGGGGTGACTAACAAATACAATGAATGTTTAAATTTTTAAAAAAAACTCATTGTAGTAAAACACACATTGCCAAGAATGATGGCATAAACATGCTCAGAGTGCAGGGAGGGGATACTCTGAGTTCTTCCAGAGGGATTCATTGGCAATACATTTTCTACTGTAATACTCTTTAAACATTCATCAGACCTTTTGATATACATTTTCTTGGCCAAACATTTATGGCAATTTCTGTCAAAAAAAAGATTACAGTGTGTCCTCACCCACATTATGCATTAGATCTGGCACCATATGATTTCTGGCTCTTCCCGAAGTCAAAATGACCATGAAAGGTAAGTGTTTTGAATCAGTTCAGCACATCAAGGCAGCCAAGACAGCACAACCGAGATACTCACAAAAAACCTTTCAGAACTACTTCAGAAAATAGCAGGAACAATGGGGCAAGTGTGTTAAAAGGAAGGGAGAATATTTTGGGTAAGACTAATGGCAATGTGTCTTTTATTAGAATAATTTTTTAAGTTAAACATACACTGTACTTTTTGAGCATACCTTATATATCTTTAAATATCTGATGTATTATTTTTTGAGGTTTTTGTTGTTGTTGTTGTTGTTGCTGAGTTGTTTAGCAAAGACCCATGTATAATAGCATGGTAAGTTTCTTGCAGTAAAGTAACTTCCTAAAGTGGAATTTATGACGTGAACACTTAGTTTCATGATGTATTGTTTTTTGAGGTTTTTGTTGTTGTTGTTGTTGTTGTTGCTGAGTTGTTTTGCAGAGACCCATATATAATAGCATGGTAATTTTTTTGTAGTAAAGTAACTTCCTAAAGTGGAATTTATGACGTGAACACTTAGTTTCATGATGTTCCCACTAGAACCACTAGGCTAAATTTCCTAAAGAGAACTGTGGCAGGTGAAGGGGTGCCTAAGTTTTTATTTCCTTGCTGGAACAATTCAAAAGCAGTATCAGCCTTAGGCAGTTTGGATCTGAGCATCTGCAGTGGCTGCCAAACACACTGGAACTTCCTCTGTGTTTTCAAGGCAGTATGGGAAGGGGAGGAGCGAGGAGACACCCAGGAAGAGCCCAGACCAGGGAGAAGAGAGGAAGCCAGGACAGGCTGCCTGCTGACCATGTAGCTCTTTCTGCATTGCTACTCTCTTCTGCCCCAAGGTTTTCATTTACCTTTTGCTTGATGTCTAGTCCCTGGCTTTTCTCCCATTAGGTTTCTCCAGATGAGGATTTTATTCAGTCCCTACTCATTGAAATCTTGCTATCTTTGAGAGGGAAGAAAGTGCTGTGATGGGAGTCTGGTCCCTGACTCTTCCCCTCTAGCAAGGGGCCAGCTCTCTGATCACCACTGTTGGGAAGCTCCTATTTGCATTTCTTGATGGATAGAAAATAGTTGTCCAGTCACACGTGGTATTTTGACATTTTGTGGGAACATCTCCTCAGTGAGTTACCAAGACATTGACAACACTCACAAAATAATCACCTCATCCTGCAGCCAACAGAGAAAAGGCAAAGTCCTCTGGGCTGCCACCTAGGACCGCTCCAGTTCAGATTTCCATTGCAAGGCTCTACTTCTTCTTGCAGAAGTATTAAGCTTGACTGCAAACCTACTTGATATCAGTTTGTCTCTTCCTCTGGGTGTATGAAAAATGATAAAGGTCACCCACTGATTTCAGTAGTGAAACTTTTGCTCATGGAAGGCCAAACATGTGGTGTGGTGGAGAGCATACAGACAAGCAGGAAGCAGCATGTCATAGAATTACTTGTCCTTCGAAAAGCCAGAAGTGCACGTTCACTTGCCTTGATGGGACACTCTCTCCTCAACAAAAGCAACAAGGTCTCCTGTATATTTAAATTGAAGTCCGTGAGGTATTTATGCCTGTCATACAGGACATAATGGGCAGCCTAATTTAGTTCTTAGAGAAGGAAGAGAAGAAAGGGGCCAAGGGCCGCCACTGACAGGTACCAGAGCAGACTATGGCCTCTATGGTGTGCATGACAATTACCTGCTTTGATGTTCACACCACCTTCTCCCCTATTCTGAGTTCATAGATTCAGGTTAGGGCCAGAGTCTTAGAATTTGTAAACTAAACCCAAGTTGTTAGAATGGGCAACCAGGATTGAGAACTACTTGCCTGGCGTCCTTGATCTATTGGGCCTCTTGCCCAAAGCTTCACTCAGAGGCATACTGGCCCCTTTTGGAGCAAAAATGTCTCTTTCCACTCATCCGGAACAGAAGGCCACATTCCCAATACTTCATTTTATACACAAGCTCTCAAGAGAGGAAATGGTAAAACCCCTAAAGAAGAAGAAGCCTGGGTTGTCAAAAAGCCTAACCTCAACCCTTCACTGGCTTGGTGTGCAGCGTGAGACACAAAAGTCTGCACCCCAGAGACAGAGAGAAAGCCCCACTGCCAGTGAGTTGCTTACTCTCTCTGGTCGCAGCATCTTCACCGTTACATGGGGTGTTAGACTCGCTAGATAACCTCTAAACTCCTTCTTGAAACATGTGTAAGTTCATGGTGTTTTATTCAATGCATCTGATCGCTTTCACCTGTTCTAACCTGTTCATTCCAACTACAAAATAGAAACAAGACACATCCTCTCCATGGGGCCTGACTTGTAAATGACTAGTTTTATAAATGCCAAAGTATTTTAAAGCATTTTGTAACTATATTTCCTCTTAAATGTATTAGTTGAAGCCAAGCAAGTCTGATCAGGGCTGACTGTGAAAGGAGGTTCTGTGAGGCCTGGCCCTTACACTAACGTGCCCAATAATGACGTGTTCTAAGGAAGGGACCAGTCACTTGGACACTGCTCATTTTTCTCCTTGACCCCTGCATTTGCTATATTAATAGTGATTCCTAAAGGAACCTGCTCAGCTTTTCCTGACGCTGAAGAATATGGACTTCTTATGGCAGATTTCACGGTTGAGGTGCACAGGTATGACCGGTTCACATGCAAACCTGACCATACCTGCCATCGGTCATGAGGCAGACAACAGACAGGGCGCAGTGGTACCAAAAGCTCTAGGAATTTAAAATCTGCAAAACTGAAACTGGCAGTTCACCATCCTGTCTATGTGCAAAGATTTCCTTTAGTGACTAATTTATTTTGTAGAAGGAGTAATTAGCTTTATTACTAACATTACCCCTTTATTACCTTTAGGCAAATCATTAATAGCCAGCTCTATCACTTAACAATATTTATAGCACTTTAACTTTTACTCCCTGAAACACTTACAGAGACACACACACAGTACACACACACACACACACACACACACACAATTTTAAATGGAACGTACCAATTCAGCAGCAGCATCAATATCAACACCAATATCAGCTATTCATCTTTATTGAATACCTATTATAATCTCTACTCTCAGAGAGTTACCAGTTTAATAAGAGTGATGACTAAGAATATCCATACGAAGAGATAAATAGCCACACATACTATAAAGTGGCAATTCTCAAAGTCTAGTCCAGAGAACTCTACCCTGAGACTCTCTTTGAGACTCCAACAAGGAAAAACTGTTCCCATCATAATACTAAGATGTTGTTTTCTGTTTGCGCTTTCATTATCTATAAGGGAGTTCCTAGAGGAATGTGAGCTATGTTATTACATCAGGCTGAATACAGAAGAGGGTTCATAATCCACTTTTATTCAACCAGAAATTAAGAGATTGGCAAGAGCACACCAATCTTGTCAGTAAATATTTCAGCCCTGAAATATTTTTCTTTAAAAATATGTTAGAAATACTAGGATGCAAGAAGCTTATCATTGTTATTTTTAATTTTTATTTACTTTTATTAGGATATGTTTGCAGTTTATGATGCCTGCATTTATGGGGGAGTTGGTCCATGTACACAACACACCTTAATTCCTTTTTCATCCCCTATCCTTCCCATTCCTCCCTGCTCCACCATCTTTTGATCACCTTCCCATTTGCAAAAGCCCTATTTCCATTTTTGCTTTCAGTATTTCATCCCCTTTTTGTCCCTTCTCTCCATCTCTTCTTCCCCTTCCCATTTGAAGAAGATCTCCCTACTCTCTGTTATCTTTTTTTTTGCTTGTTAATTATATTTTGGGTTTCTCATGCACTATTTAAGCTTGTGTGTTGGATTCATTTCACTTAATGTTATGGTCTCATGGTCCATCCATTTTCCTACAAATGACTCAAGTTTATCCTTCTTGATGGCACAGTAATAAATTAATAAAAAAGAAATCCTCAGTTTTCTAAATTTCTATGTTATATTAATATACTGTATCAATAGATACAATCTACATTAACTGAAAATGGTGGGCTTTTAGTAATGTAGTGTCCAAGTTTGTGACTCGCTGGTATAGATTAAACTCCTTGGCCTAAAATATTCTTCTTAACCTGCTTTTTACTCATCCATAGTTTACCTATGTGATTAAAACTAAAGGTCACTTCTTCTATAAGGACTTCTCAGATCCCCCATCCCTTTTCTCAGCCATACAAAGAGACACTAATAGTTATTGGATACCTGGCTGGCATGTACCAAGTACTGCCATAAGGGCTTTATATTACATGTCATCTCTCATTCCTGTGACCTTATCCCCGCTTCCTCACAGGATTTTTTACTTTGCTACATATTTTCTGAAATATAGGCATCACCTCTACTTGATTATAAGTTCCTTGAAAGACCTATGCCTACTTTACCTCGTGTCCTGAAAACTGATAAATGGATTAACGCAGAATTTCAAAATAGTGACTTTGACGTGAACTATATAGTTCAGAGGAAACACTTACCCTGAAGAAACTTCATAAGTAAGATATGAGATAAATCTTAAAGACATGGGACAGGATGCTCCCACCAGCAGACTGGAAGTAGAATTGACCTTTCACAGGTAGTAATAACATGGCCAAGGCATAGAATCAGGGCTTATCGAAGTACATTTGAATGAATAATAAGAAGAAAACAACAGGAAAATTGGCATCAGTGTGATTCATATGAGGTGTAAAGACGCAAATGAAGGAGTTTAGATGTTTTGATGAAGTTTTCTTTGTAGAGTTTATGTGACAAAATCCTCATATTAAGTCAGCTGGTCCTGAAGATGAGGAAGAAAGAAGTATTAATACTCTGTAGATTACTTCCTAGCAAAAAACTCAATATTAAAGGTAAAACTACCATATTAAAAAAAGTTTACTTTCTACATAAGTCAAGCTCATCTTGGTCTTATATTTAAAAACCTGGTGTTTAGCTATCAAACACATAACACATCCTTAAAAAATAATGCAAATTCAAATTTCAAGGTGTTTATGGCCTTTCAAAACAAATTATGTTACTGGATCTAATAAAAATAACACCTTTTTAAAAATCTGTCCTCATAAAAAGTATTTGAAATAAACACTAAGCACTTTCCCAAGTAATTTTTTCTGAGTACCTTTTCTTTATAAACAAGAATAATATTTTCCTAAGAGATACACCATAGTTTCCATCCCCACACAAGGTTCTGCAAACATCTTCAGACATTTTGAAAATTCAAAATATTATAACCATATAATCACTTTTATAAGGTATCAGTAGCATATTTCTAGGTGACCTCTCCCTTCCCTAAACACACACACAAACGCATATCAGAAAGTAAAGAAAACCAGCACCTGACTTTACTACAGTAGACCCAGGAGTGAGAGGCAGAGCTCTGATCTCGGTGCTAGGAAAGGGGACCTAGCATAGACATATCACCCTTCTCCTTATGGTGACGGTCTCCAAGCCACTGACCAGCGCAGTGTATTTCGTTTGTTTTGGAAGTGTAGCAATAACAACCGCTATAAAAGAGTGGGCAAAAGGCACTTTAGGAGAAATATGACATCTCAAGGAAATTTAGAAGTATTTGCTATCAGCAGCTGAATAACAGAAATGTGAAGCTGTGAGTTTTCTTAAGCACAGTTTAGATATGGAGAACAGTGATGACAAATTTAGTAATTAGGGAAAGCATTTCCTGCACAGTGTCATCCATTATATCCATTTTCTTATAACCAGTTCATCAAAACTCTCTTTTGTAATAGGCCACAAGCCCATAAAGAAAAATAAGCTGATAACATTATTTGTATTGGGATTCCCTTCTGTCAGCGTAAAGGAATTTTAAAAATAAATCCAATAAGGAAACATTTGTCATTTCCTAAACCAAGCACTCAGAAAATTCTTCTTAGGTTAAAAAGCAAAAACAACCTTTGAGTATCTGCACTGGGGTCTGTTTGCACTGGCGTGTACACACGGATGCACACACACACACACGCACGCATACACCATGTCACAGGGCAGCAAAGGGAGAGCGTAAAGATCCATGGGTTGATAGACAGAGCCCTCAGGAGCTGTTATGGGCCTGTTTACCTAATTGTAAGACACAGGCAAAGTCTCATAATCTTCCTGTACCCCAGTTTCCTTTTTTACAAGTTTGTTATAACACTATATCTGTCTGCCTCAGGGGATCACAGTGATACCCCAAAAGATGACATACAGGAAAATATTTTGTAAGAAGGTATTATTTTCATAAATTATTTAAATATATGTCTTATGAAAGCTCAGTTTCAATAAGAGTTATCTTTGTTAGGCAAAAGTTGAGTTATGAAACTAAAAGTACAACTTTCCATATGATGTGGAGTTTCCTGTTCTATGTTTTACAGGGCCGTGTCCCAGATGGGCAACTGTTTATTACCATATGACCAAGTGTTGATTGCTGTTATTAGGACATGAAAATATTGGCAAAGCCAAATCCCTGTTGTGAAATATAAGGACCAGGACATCTGAAGTATCATGGTCATTATCCTTCCTTCAAGGTTCTAACAGCTAAGAAGACAAAGGATAATTTTGACAAAATGACTAAAGGTGGAACTAGAAGGTTAAATACTACCTTACTGATGAATCTCCCCTAGACTTCCCTGCTAGCACTGAGCGATCGTGCTGAGACCTAGACTTTGATGCAACCACGGAGCTGACCCAAGGCAAGCGAGAAGGAAAGTAGGTCCTCCACCCTAGGGCACCACCCCTTATGCTGCTGGGCTCAATTCCAGGTACCTACCTGCCTACTGCCCTGACCTAGAAGCTCTGTACACCCAGGGCCTGAGGTAGGACCTCCCTCTAGAACCTTCCTCCACACTCAGTGCCTACTGCATGTGCTCCCTTTCGTAGCACAAAGACTAAAATTGGTACAAGACAGAAGATTAGGATGGCCTCTGCACATTCAGTCCCTGCTGAAGACTCCCCTTCACTCCCAACAAGTTTCTCATTATCTGTAACTTGCTTCTTCTGGAGGCAAGTTCCTTATGCTTTGTACAAGTGCCACTCAACTTGACTGAGAGCTGGATCCAAGGATGTCAGCTGAAACGGCCTCTGTGGCCTCTCCCTCTGGAGAGCATGTGAACTATTACATGGGAGCAGTGACCCCTGACCTTACAGAAATACAAGAAAAACTAGAAGTGGGGGATTTTTGTTTAAAATCTTGACTTTATAACTGTTGGCAAGTAAATCAAAGCCACTTTCTGAGTTTTAAAAGGTGTTTTCAACTCTAAGTAGATCAAATGAAAAGCACCAACAGGCCATATTCAAACAACAGGCAGCCACTTTTTACCTCGCATTTAATGGGCATGAAAAGGAGCACCCTCCCTGCGTAGGAACATACAGTCCTCCTTGCCTTGACAGGAACATATGGGACTCACGGAAACATCTGTGGATGCGCCACTCTTGTATGTTGTAAAACAAAAGGATCTGTTTGTGATGACTATCTCAGGCTACCTTGGAAGAAAAGGTGGCCCAAGGCCAAGAGGAGGAAAGATTTTTGGAAATTAGGTCCTCACAGCTTCCTCTTGGTTGCTCTACTGACAAATCCAGGTGCTTGTGTACTAAAAGTCCTTATAAACCTTAGCTGCGGCAGATACCACGCTGTTGCCCCACAAATGCCTCATAGCTCCTCCCCACCACTCTAGTAGTCCGGAGCCTTTGGGTAAAGAGAGAAGAATGCACATCAGCGGGCAGGAAGTCAACACAGCACTGTACTCAGATGAGGAAGTAATAGGGCCCTTGGCAAGTTATTAGTAAAGACAGAAGTAAGAGTTCATTACTTCCAGTCAATCAAAAAGATTTCTCTCATTCAGAGAATCAGTATTTATGCTAGGAGAGATTTAGAAATCATTTTGCTCTGCCTTCTCATTTTTCAGAGAAAGAGAACTATCCAGAACACCTTCTAAACCCAGCAACACCAACACCATCTGCTTTGTTTACTGTCCAATGTAAAAGCCTTGGAGAAAACGTGCGGTCCTGTTGCCTTGCCAGGCAATTCTCAGAAACAGAGAAGGTCAAGAGATACTGTTCAGGACCAAGATATTATGCTATCACTGATAATGATACCAACACCCAATAATTGTCTCCATTTCAACCAGGAAACTGGTTGAGTGTGACAAATGTGCCCTTGTTACTCAAGAGGTCTCTGGAAAGCTTTGCCCTGTTGTGTGCGACTTCTGAAAACCAAAAAGTGACTCATTTGGATTTGATTTAATTACCTTAAAGAAACCACCTTTGAAACCAGTGAGCCTGTGAATTGCACACAGGAATTCCACCAGTTTGGAAGTGGGCCATAAAGACTTTCCTTCAAGAGAGCCAGTCCGTCCACAACCATGGAGAAAGCAAGGTCTAAAGTTCATGGACCAGGCTGCGAGATCTGTCTGGCAGTTCTGCCATGGCTGGGGAAGGAGCCACTCTTCTTATGTAATAGGAAACAAGCTTACGACACAGGGCACCGAGAGCGGCTCCCAGTGAAAGCCACATGCACTGTTCAGTGGCTGTCTCTCATAGGAACTGGTTTTGCAGTCATGTGATGCTGTGTTAGCATCATGTTTCACTAGGAGGACTTTACACATCTTTCACTGTTATTCCAGAGGGGAAAAAAGCTTATTAAGTCAGTATCCATCCTCCCACTTAACCAGTGGAAAACATCAGGTAAGCACTGGCCCTTTCCAGCCCCGTTTTAAGGTAAGTCAGTTGGCAGCTTCATGCCCAGGATGCTATACCCCTGCCTCCAGGCCACGGTGACCCCTAACTTGTGGTGAAATGTAACAAGTGAGGGAGTGACTGCAGATCTGGGAAGAATTTATGTGGCTTGGGTTGGTTAATTCACAGGATAGGGAGTTGGTGTAGGTGGTCTCTACCATTTCAAAACTGTATGTTTTAACCTTAAATTGTGTCACCCCCAGGATGGTTTTTTTTTTTTTTTTTCACTTTTTAAAACCATTGTAGGATTGCATTCTATGCTATGAGCAATTTCTAGTTTAACGTCTAACGGAAATATTTTTAGCTTATTCAGACACCATCTGCGTCACTTAGCAAAATCACCATTTCAGATTAGTAAATAAATGTACTCTCAGGGGTGCTCCATGGCTAAACACACACAGTAGTTATTAATTCTGCCCACAAGGAACAAACCTCTTACCTGTTATCACATGCTCAAAAATAAGGTGGCAACTATTTGGGTCAAGTTTTGCAGAGGGGAAAAAAATACTGTGCCATGCCCTAGAAAATTTTTCACGTTCATACAATAGAAGCTTAAGAACAAACTTCTTAAATTTGTGCATTTTCTTATAGCACAAACATAATGTCAAACATAATATTAAATATTAGTTTAACTTTAACCAAAGTAAAATATTTTAACATTAAGAAGCATTTTCATATAAATGATGTAATCCTCACAACACCTTTGTTTTATAGACAAAGCACCATAGGCTGAAGGGCGTTAAGTAACTTGCTGGTAGCTTCTAAAATGTTCACGTCAGAGCCTAAACATGCTTCCAACCTCATTACCCCTTCCAACATGGTCTCCTTCCCCATATCATCTCTATTTAGGAGAGAGCCCGGATTTCTCCAACTAGTGCTCATTTCTATTTTTTTGTTTGTTTGTTTGTTTTTGGTTTTCTTCCGGTACTGGGAATCGAACTCACAACCTCGCGCTTGCCAGGCAGGCGCTGTGCTGCTGAGCTAAATCCCCAGCCCTAATTTCTAATTAGGACACAAAATGTCTGCATCCTCTTTTCCCCAACAAGACTTTTCCCTGCTCTA